TCAGGAGTGAGCGCCCTTCTTGACTGGTCACACTGTATCAGGAGTGAGCGCCCTTCTTGACTGGTCACACTGTATCAGGAGTGAGCGCCCTTCTTGACTGGTCACACTGTATCACGAGTGAGCGCCCTTCTTGACTGGTCACACTGTATCACGAGTGAGTGCCCTTCTTGACTGATCATACTGTGTCATGAGAAATGCTGGGACAGAGGGAGAGGAACGTACTCAGGCAAACAGCAAACAGCTCAGAGATAACGCTCAAGCACTCTTTCATTTTCCTTCTCTAGAACAGGAAAAATCACAGGAGCCTTGCCTCCCATGTGGGGAAAACCTGGCATCCAAATACCTCGTGTGGGACTGTAGCCCCCAGTGGCTACGCATTAAGAAGGCGCTGAGAACCGTGGTGACCGACCCCTTTACTGAGCTAGCCATCACCATCTGCATCATAGTCAACACTATCTTCTTGGCCATGGAGCATCACAAAATGGACAACAACTTTAAGCAAATGTTGGCTGCAGGGAATCTGGTAACTTTAGAGGTTTAAAACTATGAAACATATTTTAAGATTTGAATTCCGAGTCTTTGTATGTGAGTGGCCTAACCTGAACAGGTCTTTGGCCCTGGAGAAGGGAGGACAGGGAGAAGACAACCTGTTATGACTTTATTTTACTCAGTTCATTTCTGTTGTTCAGTAATTTCCCATGATGACAGGCCATCCGGACACTGTGTTGGTCCTCTGATAGGTTAAGGCGTGTCTAGTCATCAAGGGGACGTGGGGTAGACCAGAAACAAGAAGGCATCTTTCAAAGGTCAGTTATTTGGGATAATTAAGGAAATATTAACCATATCCCAAGACCCACAGTAATGAGTACCGTGGTCTCCAGAGATAACAGTATCAATTGTCATAAAATAATGTGGCTGCCACTGTTATTGTTTGTTGCCCTCATTACTAGGTGCCATCCCCCCCTGCTGCCCCCCGGAAAGCTGAGTCATGGCCTGGCAGCTGTGGGAAGTCCTCTGTTCCGAGGAGAGAAGGGGATGTGGAGCGTGGGGTGGGGTGGGGGGTTCCAGCTGCTTCAGTGTGTGTCTTATCAGCTGGATCCAGTCTAAGTTAAAGTGGAAAAACTTAGTAAGGGGAGTAGACTTTCCAAGAACTGTCTACTCTGATTCATGGTTCCTAAGAAAGGGATTTTTCTCAAGGGAAAATTACTCCCCCAAATATCAGAAACAACAAATAATTACCTACTGGATGTTCCACCCTAATTAGCGAATGGGTCGATGGGCTAAAAATCTTACCAGAATGTCTAGCCTCTTCTTCTTAAAATTTTCTTTTATTTTTCCCATTTAAAAAAGCAATATACACTATTTTTTTTTCAATTTAAAAAATAAGGAAAAATACAAAGAAAGGAAATACAAAGAGGAAACTAATTTCCCATGACCCTAACAGTAAAGGTGGAAAGATACCATTTTGGCATTGCAGGGTATCTCCAGGAGATATATATATATATATGTATATATTCCTTTTTTTTATTTTGAGAACCCCACTGGACCTATTGAATCGGGACTTGATTCACAAAGCTGCTTCTGTGATTCATGTTTTTGGTGGTGTGTAGCTGGAGATAGGTACCTTACTCCTTGATACCACACCCCTCCCAGGAGAGCAATGATACAGTGGGGCTTCAGCGTAAGGCCAGGGTGTTTCTCCCTACAAGGAATCTGCATCTCAGATACAGTGGGGCTGAGTATAAGCCCAGGGTGGTTCTCCCTACAAGCAATCTGCATCTGAGATACAGTGGGGCTGAGTATAAGGCCCGTATGGTTCTCCCTACAAGAAGTCTGCATCTGAGATACAATGGGGCTGAGTATAATAAGGCCAGTGTGGTTCTCCCTACAAGCAGTCTGCATCTGAGATACAGTGGGGCTGAGTATAAGGCCCGGATGGTTCTCCCTACAAGAAGTCTGCATCTGAGATACAGTGGGGCTGAGTATAAGGCCAGGGTGGTTCTCCCTACAAGCAGTCTGCATCTGAGATACAGTGGGGCTGCAGTATGAGGCCGGTTGTGATTCTCCCTACAAGGAATCTGCATCTGGGATACAATGGGGCTGAGTATAAGGCAGGGAGATTCTCCCTACAACAAGTGTGCATCTGAGTTCCATTCCCCATACTGCCTTTGGAGAGAGGTGCCTTGTGGGTGTGAATGGGTGAGTCTAGATTCCATGCTGCATGATTAACTGAACACACAGGTCAGTACCTTCTAACAGACCAGTGTCCTCTGGGCTTCTGGGCCAGAGTTATTCAGTTGTTCCCTGCCGAGGCAGCCCCGGAGATGGGCTGACAGTGTTGTTTCACTTGGAGGTAGAATGCTCTGTCTGTAAGGTCATTGGAGCCAGCCGACCCCACCTCTCAGCACCTCCTGGTGGGTGGGGCAATTGAGTAAACTCCAGAGAAGATCCAAGAACCCAGAATCATCCCTGTGGACAGGGCTTCCCAGCTGCAAAGGTGGTCTGCCCATCACTACATCTGCTGGCAAGTGGGAAGTGAGAAGGTTGTCCCCTGGCCAGGCGTCCTGGGTGTTCAAGTGGAGCTGCATTTTGCAGTCAGACATCAACCAGAGGGGGCGGTGGGGCGGGGGGTAGGGACCTGGGACTTGCCCCAGGGCACAAAATCCAAGGGGGCACCAGATGAGGTGCGGAATGACATTCCGTGGCACCACAAATGAGAAAGGCACCTGCCGGAGGCACCCAGACAAGGAGGGGAAGGCATTTCCGCTGCCACCAGGGCTGTTACTTTTGGTGGGGGGGCAGTTTAATCATTAATAAAGGAGCTCTGGTGGTGCAGCAGTTAAGGGCTCCGCTGCTATAATTGAAAGATCAGCGGTTCGAAACCACCAGATGCTCCTCGGGAGAAAGGTGTGGCACTCTGCTTCCATAAAGATTTATAGCCTTGGAAATCCTGCAGGTTCGCTATGAGTCAGAGTTGACTGGAGAGCAGTGGGTTTTTAGATCATTAATGACTCTTTGTCAGAACTCCACTTTATAGTGGAGAGTGTTATATCTGACAACATTTTTTTGAGGCTTTAAGCCTTTTTTTATTACCTTATTATTTTCATACTATTTTTTTTTTATTTCTACTTATTTGGGTGTGTGATAAAGAGTATAATATTTGCTATAAAGAAATGCTTTGTTTTATCTTCTGAAAATATATGGATGAGCGATTATTTCATTTTTAATTTGGTTACTACTTATTCAACATTTTGCAAACTTCTTAACCTTTTATTTACCTGATTATCAAAGACAAAGACAAAACAATGACTACTTATTTTTGCCCATGGGAAACACATAATTTAGCACTTTTGATAACTCTTTTTACCCTCTTCTTTATGAGCCCTTATTTATTTATTTATTTTGGAACGATGAAGCTTGCATTCTGAGTGAATTCTAAGGGTTATATTCCAGCTCACTAATCCTCTTTTCAGACATAACCAGTCTAGGGTTTATTCCATGGATTGAGTTACACAAAGACTTACTCTGTCCCCGGCAGGGTTTTTAATTCTCTGCTTTGGGCTCCTTTTTAGTTTAATTTTTTTCTGAGCAAGCTGTTGAGATGGAATGAGCAATGATTCCTGTTTTGGAATGCGTACTCATTGTGGTTGTGGGTAGGTAAACGCCTGAGTTCAGGTTCATGGAGGATGATTATCTTTAGTGTTCAGGTCTGTCATGCATTCTCCCCACCACCATTTTGGGGTTTTCACTGGTATTTTAAAGAGAAGTAATTTCCTGGCAGTTCCTACCACCCTGCCATCTTCCAAGAAGCTAGGTGTGGCCTATTTTCAACAGAATGGGAAATGATATTCATTTTCCATCCTACTGTCTGAGAGCTTGGGAACACTGGGGTGGGTATAATGGAAGGGGGGCAGCGGAGAGAGGAGCAAAGGTAAGGTGAGTTCAGTGCTCCAGCGGTGAATGCTTCTATTTCATGGACTTTGAAGATAGTTATCTTTAGGGCATATTGTGTCAACCATGAAAATGCATTCTATTTCTTTGTATCCTCTGTAGTTCCCTTGGACCATTCTTACAAGTGTCTCCAAGGGAGGTAGCTTCCTTTTTCTCATTCTTCTTTGTCCCGCCACAGGTTTTCAGTGGCATTTTTATAGCAGAAATGTGCCTGAAAATCGTTGCCCTGGATCCCTACCACTACTTCCGCCGAGGCTGGAACGTTTTTGACTGCGTGGTTGCCCTTCTGAGTCTTGCAGATGTGCTGACCTTTGAGAAGTCACTGCCGGTCTTACGTTCCTTCAGAGTGGTAAGGCGCTTTTGTACTCTAGCACGTAACTTAGCGGCTGAAATTCAAAAGCCTCCTGAGTGAGCTGAATGACTGCCTTGGCTTAAGCTTTAACTCATCTTGCATTAATCCCCAGAACCAAAACCACCTCCCTGTCCCCACCCAGGTCTTTAACAGTTGGGAAACTCCAGGGAATCTTCTCGTAACTGAATCCCTCCCCCGACCCAGGGATGACCCTTTAGGCAGCCGGAGCCAAATCTGTGTACCTTGCTTTGTGCGTGGCCCACATGGAGCTCTGAGCTAGGCGGCCTCACACCTGAGCGCACCAAGGTTGGTGAGGAGCACAGAGCCCCGGAGTGGGCCAGGTGCTGCCAACAGCTGCTGTCTCAGCAAGGTGTCTCCCCACCATCCGGTGCCACAGTCCTTCCGTCCCACCAGTTTGGAGGCATTCTGCCAGCCTTGGTGGAGTCCCTGATGTGAGCCGACATGGGGGAAGGCACAAAGGTGAAGGAGCAGTGTCTT